TTTTCTATCATTGGTCGAAGCATAACCCCCATGGGTGACGAGAGTGCCTCATTAGGCAAGTCCACGATGTCTAACAGTAAATATTCTGATGTAGTGTTGGAATATATACTCGCTTTCCTCAGACTGAGCTCAAAAGTTTCCTCATTACTTGCAGAAGTTTACACACGAGTTGTGGTAAAAGTGCTCACAATTTCCCAAAATTTCCTCAAAATTTCCCAAAATTTCCCAAAATTTCCTCAAAATTTCCCAAAATTTCCCAAAATTTCCTCAAAATTTCCCAAAATTCCCAAATAAGTGAGCGATTCTCGTACGACTCACATGAGGGCAATCCTTGACCGTTGAGTAAAAACCTAAAAGCACCACTAGTAACCAAATTCAACGAGATTCTTACTTAGCAATATCATCAGCGAAATTGTTACAATTGTTCGTAAGAAGACTATAGGTTTCCGTAGTGTATCTGAAGACCTCCTCGATGACATCTAATCATAAAACGATGCAGTACTTAGTCCATATTGAGCGCAAGTAAGTATTTAACTCCTCCCTAGTCTTGTGAGTGACTCCTGAAATGGTAGTAATAAACTCACTGGAATTAAATACGTATACGACTCAGCTAGACTATATAGTAGTAAACTCACTGGGAGTAAATACGTGTACGACTCAGCTAGACTATATAGTAGTAAACTCACTGGGAGTAAATACGTGTACGACTCAGCTAGACTATATAGTAATAAACTCACTGGGAGTAAATACGTGTACGACTCAGCTAGACTATATAGTAATAAACTCACTGAAAGTAAATACGTGTACGACTCAGCTAGACTATATAGTAGTAAACTCACTGGGAGTAAATACGTGTACGACTCAGCTAGACTATATAGTAATAAACTCACTGGGAGTAAATACGTGTACGACTCAGCTAGACTATATAGTAATAAACTCACTGGGAGTAAATACGTGTACGACTCAGCTAGACTATATAGTAGTAAACTCACTGGAATTAAATGCGTGTACGACTGAGCTAGACTATCGATAACCAGTGGAAAAATTTCCGGAGTATTTTATGAAGAGTAGACTCACCGAGATCGATCGTTCGATAAGGCATGCCAGGGACAGCGGGTGGAGGGGAGACACAGATACCTACCCAATGACAAGAAGTGGAAGACGAGTGGTATGAAAAGTGGTCAGCAATTATAGTAGTAAAATTATAAGAAGCATAGATATACATACATACAATGGAGTTTCACCCGTTTTACGTGAAGTGGCGTAATACTCTGTGAAAAACGCGATATTCGAGGCCTGCAGTAGTCGTGAAATATCTTTTCCACTAGTGTTTTTCATATCACTAGGGTGAAACTCCAATGATATATTATTATAATGAAGTTTCACCCGATTAACGTGAAATGACGTTTTACTCCATGTAAATTTCATACGTATATCTTTTCGCGACCGATTTTACACAATTATTTTTCGCGAAGTAGATTGTGAAATATGTTTTTCACTAGTGTTTTTCATATCACTAGGGTGAAACTCCAATGTTACATTATCGTAGTGAAGTTTCACCTGTTTAGCGTGGAATGACTCCATGTAAATTTCAGACATATATGTGTCCGCGACCGATTTCACACAATTCTTTCTCGCGAAGTAGATTGTGAAATATATTTTTCACTAGTGTTTTTTCATATCATGGTTATAAACTCCAATAATGTAACACCATATTTCGTATCATTATCATCAGTAATGCTGCTGTTATTACCTCCTCCATAGTAGTACTCCAACCCGAAGACAACTACTCCAGTATGCCAAATACCCTACAAAGCAAAATCCATTTTCCTACCAGTAGAGAAATCTCTCATTTTTTGCACCCGTTTTTCGTGAAGTGGCGAAATACTCTTTGAAAAAAAATATATTATTGTAAAATATGTTTTCCACTAGTGCTTCTCATATCACGGGTGAAGATCCCTATACTGAAGTTAACCCACCTCAATCTGCTTCCCTAATATCATGGGGCTCATCTGTCGAGCCATACCTTGGGAAAGGTCATACAAGTGAGCTTGGACTTTGATGCCGTTTATGGAGGACATTTGAACAGCACAATTCTACTTGTTACTCATAAGAGGCCACTCATCGACCGAATCGCAGAATTTGTGACCAGTACTGGAGAAATATATGTTAGGTTTCCTCAGCTGGGCTCAGAAGTTTCCTATACAGTGTTGGAGTAGGAATATATGTTCGCTTTCCTCAGCTGAGCTCAGAATTTTCCTATACAGTGTTGGAGGAATATATGTTTGCTTTCCTCAGCTGAGCTCAGGAGTTTCCTATACAGTGTTGAAGGAATATATGTTAGGTTTCCTCAGCTGAGCTCACGAGTTTTCTATACAGTGTTGAGTAGGAATATATGTTCGCTTTCCTCAGCTGAGCTCAGGAGTTTCCTATACAGTGTTGGAGTAGGAATATATATTTGCTTTCCTCAGCTGAGCTCAGGAGTTTCCTATACAGTGTTGGAGTAGGAATATATATTTGCTTTCCTCAGCTGAGCTCAGGAGTTTCCTATACAGGGTTGGAGGAATATATGTTTGCTTTCCTTAGCTGAGCTCAGGAGTTTCCTCAAAGTATCATAAAGATTCACATACGATGTAAAACAGAAACGTACAAAAAACCAACGAGAATTCTCCAGTATTTCCTCCGAATTTCCATAGAGCTGACCACCTCCACATTTTCATATTTTGGCTATGAGAGGCCAGCGGAGAAGGGTAGTTCGTTTTTAGTGACAGTGTGGGAAAATGCTACGAGTCATAGGGAAAAACCCGAAAACCTCGCAATCGGTGTATGGTCACAACACGAACCTCTGGAATTTTTTTTGATTTTTTAAATCGTACATGCGCAGTAGAATTCTCTCCAGCTCCACCGCTATCCTTAGTTCTACTAATCCAACGCTATCACTGTATACAACATGGAGCTCTGGCGAGTTCCTCAGCCAAATTGCCACATAGAAACTCCACATTGGAACGCAATTATCATCGTATTTTCCAAAGTTTAGTTCACTAGATGTTACATATCATCAGATCAGTACAGACTGCGATTAAGGTCAACTTAGCAGCAAGAAGAGCCTCTCATACGATCTCCCCTCGAAATCAGCAAGATGACACAAAATTCGATCTACCAACGGTACTTGGCAACAAGCCGTATAGCGACGTAATGTGCAGTCATTATATTCCCCCTATACACCGAAGCCCAATCTTCTCGTTTATTCTCCATTGCATATCGTAGTGTACTGCGTTTGATCTGTATACCGTGGCTATAGATCGCCATAGTAAGGCAGGCGCCAGCCGTTAACACGCTTCCTACACAAGAGCCAATCAGAGAGCCGAGTTCAGCCTCACCATTAACAGCGGGTTATAATAACACTTCACAAGTTCGATGATATACCCTATCCCGAATTTCACCCTAGTGATATGAAAAACACTAGTGAAAAATATGTGCACGGTGTGAATATCGCGTTTTTCACCGAGTTTTACGCCACATCACGTGAAACGGGTGAAAAACATATTTCACTGAAAACAATTGTGTTGTTGGTCGTAAAAAGATATATGTCTCATAATTTACAGCGAGTATTACGCCACTTCACGTCGTATGGGTGAAACTCTTCCGTAGTATTAAATTGAAACTTGATACTCGATTCAACCGTGGCCCTCAAGAGGAGTTTCAAGTTGACGCTATCAGTAGTTCCACTCTGTTTTCAGTAGTAATAATTTCCCATAATTTTTTTAACATAAAAAGATTCCAATGCCATGAACTGGAAAACTCGCCAGTGAAGAGCAGTGTTTGAGAAAAATTATTGGCGTTTCACCCGTTTCACGTGAGGTGGCGTAAAACTCGGCGAAAAACGCGATATTCACACCATGCAAATATATTTTTCACTAGTGTTTTTCATACCACTAGGGTGAACAGTGCAATGTTGTGTTAGCTTCCTCAAATTCGCAATTCGTAAAAAGTTTTACTGAAAAATACATCCCGCACCTCGTTACGTTTTCGATATCTGTAATTGTGAAAAGACACATTTCTGGTTTATAGAGTTTACGGTAATCAATACTGATGGGCTCATCATAATACACCTGCTCAAACTGCTGCTATATAACGTCAATCGGAGTGCTCAATTTTGGAGGAATATTTG